CTTATTTGTGTATCACTCGGCTGTAGATCCTCCAATCATTTCTGAATTGGTGCCGACACTGCCCTTCCTTCTGGGGGGGGGGGCTACTTTTGTTCCCATGCTCCCTGTGTGTGTTGTAATGTAGTCACAGCCCCAAGCTCACTCCGGGATGGACTACAATCTCATGTTTAGTTTACTCATTTGTAATGAGATTGTAGTCCATCCCGGAGTGACCTTGGAGCGGTGACTACTTTACAACACACACAGGGATCATGGGGAACAAAAGTAGCAAAGAGATGATTGGAGGATCTACAGCCGAGTGATACACAAATAAGTAATAATAAATAATGTTCATAGTTAAGGGACTTGAATGCATTTTAAAGATTTAACTCCTGAGTGTAGTGTCACTTTAATTGGGGGAGCGTATGACAATGAGACAACACAGGAGCACAATTAGGAGACAGACAGACAGAGTGTTGTCACCCTATTACAGGAAGTTCAAGTCTTCATAGCGGGATCGCCAGGAATTATTTTACTGAAAGCTACAAATTAAAAAATACTGAAAATTTTTTTGAAATGACTTTACCATGTTATATATTATTTAGGATTGTACTGATTGGGTTTTCATACACTTTGAATTGTAAAATGGCTCGTGTAAGTAATTGCATTTGTTATAAAACCTTTTAATACACACTAAAGTAACCCTTTAGTAAAAGTGGAGTTACCCTCTAAGTATATATCTAACCGAGTTGTGAGTTTTTAGATACGTCCTTATGTGCACTCGGTGCTGTGCTAGTATTTTTTATCATAGCTGTCTACTAGCCTAGAATGAAACATGATATGTACTGGGACCGGTCACCGAGCAGCAGCCAGTCATGGCGGCCTCTATTTATAGAGCACCAGCAGCGGATAGTGACCATTCCTCCACAATGACATATTGCCAGCTGTACCCTTGAACCTTCTGGACTATTCCAGAGCACAAGCCTTATTGTCTGCACTGCTGCAATCATTCTTGATACTCCTCGACTTTCATGGCAGCGACATTCCACTTTTCCCTGTGCAACCAATAATGGGAAATGTAATATTGTCACTAAAAATCATACTCCAGATTTTGGTGGATGCCAGCAAGTTGAATTACCCAAGGAGGCTGCTCATATTACTTAGGGATGCCACTGGCAGGATCTCTGCACACGAGTGCCCAAGTCCAGCCACTTACTGCTGCCATTTTCAGGGTCATACAATCCACACTTGCTAACATTTTTAAAGGGTTAATTTCTTCTATCTGTCAGGGACTGTATTGGTGAGATCTCTGCACACTTACTGTGCCCATTATGAGGGGCTCCCACCATCCCAGTGCTGAGTTCTTGGGTCTGCACACCTACTCTGCCCAATATGAGGAGCTCCCACCATCCCAGTGCTGAGTTCCCGGGTCTGTACACCCGCTGTGCCCATTATTAGGGGCTCCCACCATCCCTGTGCTGAGTTCCCGGGTCTGCACACTTACTGTGCACAATATGAGGGGCTCCCACCATCCCAGTTCTGAGTTCACGGGTCTTCTCACCTGCTGTGCCCATTATTAGGGGTTTCCGCTATCCCTGTGCTGAGTTCCCGGGTCTGCACACTTACTGTGCACAATATGAGGGGCTCCCACCATCCCAGTTCTGAGTTCACGGGTCTTCTCACCTGCTGTGCCCATTATTAGGGGTTTCCGCTATCCCTGTGCTGAGTTCCCGGGTCTGCACACTTACTGTGCACAATATGAGGGGCTCCCACCCTCCCAGTGCTGAGTTCCCGGGTCTGTTCACCCGCTGTGCCCATTATTAGGGGCTCCCACCATCCCTGTGCTGAGTTCCCGGGTCTGCACACTTACTGTGCACAATATGAGGGTATCTCACCATCCCAGTGCTGAGTTCACGGGTCTTCTCACCTGCTTTATCCATTATGAGGGGCTCCCACCATCATTGTGCTGAGTTTCTGGGTCTGCACAACCGCTGCCCCTAATATGAGGGGTTTTCGCTATGCCTGTGCTGATCTCCTGGGTCTGTGCACCTGCATGCCCATTATGAGGGGCTCCCACCATCATTGTGCTGAGTTTCTGAGTCTGCACAACCGCTGCCCCTAATATGAGGGATTTTCGCTATGCCTGTGCTGATCTCCTGGGCCTGTACACCTGCATGACCAATATGAGGGGCTCCCACCATCCCTGTGCTGAATTCTCAGGTCTGCACCCCTGCTGTGCCCAATATTAGGGTATCCCACCATCCCTGTGCTGAATTCTCAGGTCTGCACCCCTGTTGTGCCCAATATTAGGGTCTCCCACCATCCCTGTGTTGAGTTCCCAGGTCTGTATACCCGCTGTCCCCGACATGAGGGGTTTCCGCTATCCCTGTGCTGAATTCCCTGGTGCACACATAGTACAATGATACCCTTTGTGGCTCTTAAGGAATATATTTAAGTGCAAAGTATTTGTGCCTGGAGTTCAGCTGTCAGGAAAACCTCACAAGACAACTTCCAGCACCGGGGACCCACAGACAAATGTAGATATGCAGTAGCTATTATTATCCCATCCCGGGTGTTCCATCACATGTTCTTCTATGACATCTGACACCCCCTCCTGGAAGCTTCTACTTCTAGTACCTTCCAGCTCTTTATAGAATACACTTCCAGAATGAGCCGCCTCTGGTATATAAGAGTGCTGGGAAACCCGTGGCTGCAGTGACCCCAGAAGAACACAAGGCAGGAGCACAGCTCATCATACAAGCTACTGCTAGAGGGATACAAAGAAGACACATGTACACCTAGAGGGATACAGAGGAGCTGCGTAAAATAGAGGATTAAAAGAATTACAGAAGAAGACAAATTGCTGTCACAGGGAACAGAGAAGGTTCAACCTATTGCAGAGAACACAAGGAAGAGAACAACCAACTATAGTACAGAGACCTAGACCAACTACTCACAGACCAGGTAAGGAGAGTTGCTGGGAGAGGTGCCCATATCATAGTTGAGACTATTTCCAGTGGGGGGGGGTTCAGTAGCTCCTATCTTAATTTTGGTTGCCCCTGTCTGCCTGATATCTTGTGTCCGGGTTTCTGCTGCCATGAAACCTGGACACAGCATTTAAAACCCGGACTGTCCGGGTGAATCCTGGGCAAGCGGCAACACTAATTCCAGCAAGAGTGAACTATGGGAAAGACAGTGGAGAAAGCAGCTCTGATGGTTCAGAAAGTTTTTGGTGGACCGATCATCCAACACATTTTTTGTGGGGGGTTAAGTGCATGCATGCTCAGATGTGACACAATCATGGGGCCTTTGCAGTTCTTGGTTGTGTTCACAAGAATTTGCCCCTGCTGCAGCCTCTCACCTTGAGACAAAGTTACAGTCTGATCACTTGGGAAGGAAAGACTGAGGAAATGCTTACTGCTGCCTGCAGCAGATTAATTGCCTCATCTCAGACTAGGCATATTCACTTAGCTTAGCATATTATTATTGGTATTTATATAGCGCTTTACATAGTGCTCATTCAGATCAGTCCCTGCCCTCGGGGAGCTTATGGGCCCTATCTCACATGCATGGCCAATTTAGACAGGGGCCAATTAACCTTCCAGCATGTCTTTGGAGTGTGGAAGGAAGCCGGCGTACCCGGAGGAAACCCATTGCAAGCACAGGGAGAACCTGCAACATGCCAACTCTTTGCAGATAGTGTCCTGACCAGGATTTGAACCAGTGGCCCCCCCACGGCTGCACCACGCCAGAAGTGCTAACCACTACGCCACTGTGCTGTCTGCATATTCCTCTATTTGCAAAAAATGATCGAATACACCCATAATGCATTTATTCTCTTTTTTTGCACTGGAGCATTGCAACCGCGATCAGTGGATCACGTGTGCAATGCGCAAGCTTCTGTGGACTGTTCCTCCATCGCTAGGTCTGTTCTGAGGTACGAACCTTCAGTAATAAAGCTGGAGGAAGTAATCAATGGATTACAAGTCTGGTGACATTACCCCACTTGCATTCCATTGAAAGCTATGAGCTCCTCTGCACAGTTAGGGTTGCCACCTGTCTAGGATTCACCTGGACAGTTCGGGTTTTGAATGCTGTGCCCGGGTTTCATGGCAGCTGAAACCCGGACACAAGATGTCAGGCAGACAGAGGCAACCAAATTGAGATAGGGGCTACTGGCCTCCCCACTGAAAATAGTCTCAACTGTGATATTTACATATTAATGGGTGATTCTATTTACATACGAAAAAGCCGCAGCTCATTCTCCCAAAAACATTTCTGTGCGTCACTAGAGTGTTCGGGTTTCGATGGAAGAAAAGGTGGCAACCCTAGCCACAGTGGTTTTTTCATTCAGAGATCCTGTGAATGTAACTGTGATCAAATGATGTGGTTGTGCACGTGGAGCCAGGCAGAGCCACGCCAACTGAAAATAATGCAAAGGGAAGGGGCGGTTATCATGCTATTGGCTACTGCAATTTAAAATAGCCAATAGCAGGCTCACTATTGCTGCTGGCCGCTGGATTTTAGGTCTATTGCGGCATTTGTTTGGGGGGGGGGGGGGGGGGAGCAGCACCATGTTTCATGTTACACCCTAAATATAGTTGTTAGATGGAACATGGATTGAAAGGTGAAATTCCTTTTAGGGATTTTTTCTTTACGATAAAAGGTGTAATTTTTAATTATACTGTTACCTTCTATTGTAACATGTCAGGAATTTATCCATGCAGACTTGTAAAGTTACTAAAAGGTTCACTTTAATTACAGCCATGGCTGCTTTCTCTGTGAAATAATACGTGCTTGAAAATGTTACACGACTGATTCCATGGGACAGGGGATGGCACTATAGGTGCTCTGGATAGTGGCTGGCTATGTATTACTGCAAACTCTATGTTCACAAGGAGACTCAGTGTTAACCTTTGCCTATAAGAAGTGCTGCATTGAGGATAACGGCTCAGCTTTTAGACCAGCATTTCACAGGGCAATGCCATATAACATTGCCATATTTTTCCCCCGTTCCCAGGATGCCTGAAGAACATAAAGCAATGGAGGAGGAGGTGGAGACCTTCGCTTTCCAGGCTGAGATCGCTCAGCTGATGTCACTGATCATCAATACTTTCTATTCTAACAAAGAGATCTTCTTGCGGGAAATCATCTCCAACTCATCAGATGTAAGTACATTAAACAAAATACATGTATCAGTATTCCATCTCTGCTCCATCTGAACATAATTGCCATAAAATGATTATCTATATGCAGGGCTTCCTTAAGAATTGATGGATATAATGTTGTTTCTATATACTAGTGGTGGGCAGAGATTTCGTACCCATTCACAACCACTGAGAAAGATGAGGATTGGATTGTGTAAGGTTTCCACAGACGGCTAAAATCAATGATATTACAAAGAGATTGTCCAGCTTTTTGCTTTCTCTCTTTGACCAACTCACAAGCTACAGGGTAGAAGATCCCTTCGCTTTAAAATGTATGTCTAGCCAAAACTTAGAGAGACTTCCCCTTACTTTCTGTCCCGGAAACACATAATAAAGTCAGTAGAAATCTCCCCAACGAGAGAAGAAATGCCCAAAATAGGTGTCCCCATTGGAAGATTTCCCTGTTCTGGTGACTACGCTAAAATTTTGGATCTTCCATCAGTTTCTGCCCTGGAGATAATAGTCATCAGGACAAATATAGAGGGCAAATCTCCCTACTGGAAACGCCAATAAAAACCAGATAGGATTTTTTCCCCTATTCTTTCCAGAACTATAGAATAACAGTTTTGGGTAAAGACAGGGCCGGATTTCCCACAAGGCCAACCAAGGCCTGGCAGAGAGGCAGAAGGGAGTAGAGGGGCAGTCCGGAACGGGTAGTTGTTTTCTACATTTAGCTTTGCTTTGGGCAAGCAGAGCTAAATGTACAGCTAAATGTACAGCAGGGAAGCTGGCGCTTGTTTTGTATGATGCAATGTCACTGGCCCTGGGTAAAGACACACTTTAAGATTGGTTGACTTGCCAATGCTTATTCTTAATAAGACATCTGCCAGACTATGACTACTCTAGCACACCATAAGCGATCCTCAGTAGAATGTTATATATCCTGGCAGCCACTTGAAGATAATATCGGGGTTAGCCTTTATTATCATTTTTATTGGATATATTCATTAGTGGACAATGGCAACTTACAAACGGGTTACCCAATGGCCTGACTTACCCAATGGGGGTTTTTTTTATCTCTGGGAATTCCAGCAGCCAGAATTTCTGACTGGCGGTCCCGGCACTACCTCCCTTTCTACCATCATCATATGCAATACAAAATCAAGGTGTCTCGCTCCTTGTGATGCATGATCCCTAATACAAGTTTAAAAGACAATCCAGTGGCAGAGTGAGTCCCCTAGTAATGGTTGTGGTTTGCAGAAGGAACTGTGAACTTTGAAAGCTGTTTATAGATCTTGCCTTATATTTAACGTACTGTTAATAACTTGGCCTATAAATATTTTGTGCTTTCAGGCTCTGGATAAGATCCGCTATGAGAGCCTCATTGACCCCAGCAAGTTGGATTCTGGGAAAGATCTGAAGATTGACCTGATCCCCAACAGACTGGAAAAAACGCTGACTATAATTGACACAGGAATTGGCATGACCAAAGCTGATCTCATTAACAACCTGGGCACCATCGCCAAATCTGGAACCAAGGCTTTCATGGAGGCTCTGCAGGCCGGAGCTGATATCTCCATGATTGGTCAGTTCGGTGTGGGTTTCTACTCTGCCTATCTCGTTGCTGAGAAAGTGACGGTGATCACCAAGCACAACGATGACGAGCAGTATCTCTGGGAATCATCAGCTGGAGGGTCCTTCACTGTCAAAGTAGATAAAAGTAAGTGGTCTCTCTTGTTTTCTGCTGCTATAATGAGATGGTAAAGCGAGCAATGTTGATGTGCAATGCTACAATCCATAGCAACCATTCAGATTTTACTATATGGCGGTCAGATTAGCAGAAGAATTGCTTTGTCATATCTGTTGTCAGATGGGGCAATTAGCTCTGTTATCTTTTGCTTTGTCAGGTGAATTTCCAGGACGTGGTACAAAAGTTATCCTGCATCTGAAGGAAGACCAGACTGAGTACTTGGAGGAAAAGAGGATTAAGGATGTTGTGAAGAAACATTCCCAGTTCATTGGCTATCCCATCACTTTGTATGTAAGTATCTGTGAACTGAAATGCTTTGCTATTTCAACAAAAATAGGGAAATCAAAAGTCCAATCTCTCTATCGAATTTCCATGTGTATGGCCATGGATTTAAGGCTGCAGATAGCACATTGGGCCAGTTAAAGTATTGTGTGTGCGCCAAATATTTGGAGAACGGAAAACAGCTTTTTTTTTAATGTGCCAAATGATAGTTAAATTTGAAGGGTTGAAATGAAAAATATGACTAGTACAGAAATTGTAAAAAATAAATTGCAAGTGCGACTTTTTTGCACAAAACAGTAAACCGAGGTATCTCCTGCACACCATACAGCAATGGAGACCGTTGATAATGATGGTGCTCGTAGTGACAGGGGCGGACCTACTGCCGGTGTAGCCGGTGCGACTGCACCGGGGCCAGAGCCTAAGGGGGCCCAGTATCCGATCTAACGCAGCCCCGGGGCAGAGATGGGGCGGGGCGCCGGATACCATCGGATCGTGCAACCAGTGGGCCCCCCCATCTCTCCGCCGGGAGTGTCAGATTATCAGATTGGTATCCAGCGGCCAGCAGGCCACCCCATCTTTGCACCCGGAGTATCGGATGATCCGACACTCCCAGCGCAGAGATGATGGGGCACGCCAGCCGCCAGATACTGAGGAGGGAGCCGAGAATGAAAAAGCCTGCAGGCACTTCATGGGGCCACCCTGGGCCTTGGCCGTGAGGACCCAGCAAGCAGCTGCCTGAGTACACGGGTGGTGTGGATTGGGGGGTTTGTGTTTTCTTTTTGGGGAGGGTGCGGGGGGCCCGAAAAAGAAAATATCTTGCACCAGGGCCCTTTGTTCCCTAGGTCCATCACTGTGTAGTGATGTCCACGGATGGACCCGTGCGAATCCAGAGATTGAACAATGTAGATCACACTTGTGACATGCTTCTTTGAATACAAGGAAAACTTGGATTTATCTCATCCCTTGTGTGCTGGTGGTCTACATTGTTTATTTTTTTGCACAAAAGTCTCACAATCTGCGTCAAATAAATAACGGTACAGAAAATGAGTTTGTCAGTATTTGGCGCAATAGAGATGCCCAGTAGTGCGATAGGAGGATGATGGCACAACACACTGGTACATTCTGCTACATGCCAAATAAACTATATGCGCTCAGCCATAATACTTTATTTGACATGAGATGCACCAAAATAAGACGCAACAATTCACATTCCTCAACATCCGCCAATCTTAGTTTATCTGGCCCATTATGTAGTCTGTCTGCAGGCAAATAGTGCTTATTGAAATGCTCCTCTAACACTGCTTGCTAAACCTGCCATGTCAAAGGACCCAGGCTGACTCAATTTCATCACACAGGCAGAGAAGCAGCGCGAGAAGGAAATTAGCGACAATGAAGCTGAAGAGGAAACTGCAGAAAACAAAGCAGAAGAAAAAGACGGCAACAAAGAAAAGCCAAAGATTGAGGATGTGGGATCTGATGAGGAAGAGGACGCCAAGACTGAAGGCAAAAGGAAAAAGACTAGGAAGATCAAGGAGAAATACATTGACCAGGAGGAGCTGAACAAGACCAAACCCATCTGGACCCGAAACCCCGATGATATCAGTAATGAGGAGTACGGAGAGTTCTACAAAAGCCTCACCAATGATTGGGAGGACCACCTGGCTGTGAAAGTAAGAAGTTTACTTTGTAACATTGCTCACTTAGCACTGATGACATGCAAAGGAGCCAATCAGAACTCAGTTTACTGGAGTCACATCAATGAAAGATGAATTCTGATTGGTTCTTGTGGGTTACTGCACTTAACACTCTGCTCTTTGTCTTGCTGTAGAATTATTATTATTATCATGTATTCATATGGTGCCATCATAGTTTCCTTCCTTTCTCAAACCTTTTACTGCAGATGAATCCACATTTATCAATAATTTTGAGGTCTGCTAAAAATTATGCCAACATTTCATGTTACTTTAGCATGATCAGTTAAATGTAGAACATTTTAAAAGGAAGAGCCAAGAAAATTGCACAACTAGAGTATTGGATATCCAGAGTGGATTATCTCTGCTTCCAACACTCCCCTTCTCTACACAGCAATAATAATAATAAAATAAAATAAATAATGATGGCCAAAAACTGTGAAAATTGTAATTGTTTTCAGTGGAAAAGGGTTCCCTCACATTGGTGGTCAATGGAAAAACGCCCCCTTACATAGGTGGTCAGTGGTGAAAAGCCCCTTCACATTGGTGGTCAGTGTAGAAGTGACTCCTTACTTTGGATGGCAGGGGGGAATCCATGCCCCATTACACTAGTGTTCAATGTAGTTCTGAAAATACATTGCTTGGAACCCAGAGGAGCCTTTGGATGAACTCTGGGGATCCATGGAATCCTGGAGGAGAAAGCCTGCAGTAGAGTATACAATGAACATAAATACATTGTCAACAAACATAACAGACAACCAAACTGTGACGGTATTGCTTATTGGAGCTTGCACTCTTATAAATAAAAGGGACTGATACAAGGGCATATCAAATCTCAAAGGCTAAGTCTGTAAAAAATAAGTCAAGGCAACTGGACTTGCTGTATTTTTCTTGAAGTCGTTTCACTGGTCATCCAACCAGCTTTCTCAATTCAGAATGACTTGTACAAAAAATTCTCTGGGAATAAATATGGTGAATGTTGTTCCATGATTAGATGACTAGTGAAACATCTTCAAGAAAAATACAGCAAGTCCAGTTGCCTTGACTTATTTTTTACAGATATACCATGGGTGAATGAGAATCTTCACAGACATATGAAAGAGTAAGGATGGGTATACTGTATATATCAATGTATACCAAATATATTTGCATTGGACAAGTATATGATGCATGCAGGGCCGGTGCTAGACTATTTTGCGCCCTAGGGAAGACCTGCTACTTGCACCCCCCCCAGCCCCACTTCCAGCGGCACAGCCCCCAATCCTCCCCGTGACTAGTGGCAGCACCGACCCTGGATGCATGATTAATTGGATAATTCAGTGTATTTAGTGAGTCGTGTAAAGTTTACCTTAAAGCCTTGGTTCTCAACTGGTGGGTCGTGACCCAAAAGTGGGTCGCGACCCCATGTTCAGTGGGTCGCCGCATGCTATCCTCTTTTCTAGGTGAGAGGCTTCTCAGCCTCTCCCTAGCCTCCCCCTAGCGCAGCATTGACGGTTCTGACACCGAGCAGCCATTCAAAATATGCTGCTCGGCACTTAGTGTCAGCTTGAGGTGGGCTGGGCTGGGGGTATAGCAGCGAGGGAGCTCCATCCAAACCTGTATTGCTTACAGCTCCCTCGCATGTTCTGTAGAGATGCCTGGACTGGGGTGACATCACATTCTGGCTCCTGTCACCTCTACTTGGTGCGCATGGGAGCTGTACAAGCAATGCACGTTTGGATGGAGCTCCATGACAGCACAGCAGCCCACACCGCTGCGACTTAGGTCGTGACTTCATGACCGTGGACAAATGTGGGTCCTGGGGTCTCACAGGTTGAGAACCACTGCTCTAAAGTATGTCTCCATCATTTCTTTTCAGTTTTCATCCTTACTGTATTCATCTGGTTCATGCTTGATACATGAGCCTCAGTATTCCTCCATGTGTGACAAGCCTTACTGTTGTTTTTCAGCATTTCTCCGTTGAGGGTCAGCTTGAATTCCGGGCTCTCCTCTTTTTGCCTAGACGGGCGTCTTTTGATTTGTTTGAGAACAAGAGGAAGAGGAATAACATCAAGCTCTACGTGCGCAGAGTGTTTATCATGGACAGCTGTGAGGATCTCATTCCAGAATATCTTAGTAAGTTACTTTTCACGTTTCCTTTTGTGATATTACAGCAGGCAGGTCAAACTGTAATGAAAAAGAGTTCCTGCCCAGCTGGGTGTTTTTGGGTGTCTGTCCACCTTTGCGTGTCCCAGCTCCTCCTTTTACATTCTACCTAATGTAAAAAAGGTCAAATTCCAGCAGGGACAATGGGAGCACCTTGTAAAAGGTAAAGCAAGTGAACAGGCCTGGGAACTTAGCTCAGAGATCCCACCAACAGAATCCCCCAGAGAAAGAGTAGACTGCCTTCCAACACTGAAATAACAGTTTTGGTGGAATGACACTTTAAGTGAACCTGTCACTTGAACAAAGAGAGCCTAGCATGTTGTGTGTGTTTTGCTCGGGATCATCTTTCTCTCCATGCCTCTGTGCTTCCTTGCCTCTGTGAAGGTGTAAGTATTAGTAAGTTTACCTGTTGATAGAAAAGTGTGGTTAAAAAGCAGAATAAGGGGTCAGTGGTAAAAAGTACCTACCATCCAGGGAGAACAGAGGGAAAACTTTACATAGGTTCTCAGGTGACTAGGTGGTAGGTACACTATCGCAGATTTGAGAAGTGCCTATCTGATCATCTGTTGTCTGGCAGGCTTCATCAAAGGTGTAGTGGACTCTGAAGACCTACCGCTGAATATTTCCCGCGAGATGTTGCAACAGAGCAAAATTCTCAAAGTCATCCGGAAAAATTTGGTGAAGAAGTGTCTGGAATTGTTCACAGAGATGGCTGAAGACAAAGAGAACTACAAAAAGTTCTATGAGCAGTTCTCCAAGAACATAAAGGTAGGAGAAGAGTAGTGAAGAATGGGGGCACACAGCAACCAATCATGTTCAGTGCTTTGATTTTAATAATGCACATTCGCAAATTAAAGAATAAGCGCACATTGGTATGTAAATTCTCTAATGTGGTTAAACCATTCTTAACAGCTTGCAATCCTGAAATAAGGGAAAATTGTATACTTACCTTTCGGTAATTTTCCTTTCCTGATGCCACAACATGGCAGCATACAAATGGGTTTAGCTCCGCCCTTCACCAAATCACAGGCCCAGGTATACTATAAATTAAAGCACGCCTCACAAGGCCACCATTCTCTTAACAAGCACTCAATGCGAAAGCCATGGGAGGATCCCATATGCTGCCATGTATTGGCATCAGGAAAGAAAAATTACCGAAAGTTAAGTATCCAATTTTCCGTTTTCCTGACACCAACATGGCAGCATATGAATGGGACATGGCAAGGAAAAACAGGGGAGGGCAAAAGTTGAGATATTTATCTAATTTACACAATTTTTAAACACATTCCGAACCAAACTTCACCTGAGCATTGAGGACAGAAAAAAGAATGGTGGCCTTGGGAGACGTGCTTTAATTTATAGTATAACTGGTCTTGTGATTGGGTGAGGAGCGGAGCTAAACCCATTCGTATGCTGCCATGTTGGTGCCAGGAAGGTAATTTTTCTGGTCCAACTTCTCTGAGGAAACAGTAGCGATTAATATTAAAAAAAAAGAAATCAAGAATCCTGCAATTACACTGTTGCATTAACGAAGACATCTGCCGAAAACCCTCTGGTTGTGTTTGCTTATTTCTGGGGCCTGGAAAGCTTGAACATCTATAGAGGTGCACAATAGGCTTTTATTGTTATAGCTGCTCCTGAATTTTCAGACGTCTGGGTCTGCTATCATCCAACAGAGAGGAAATTTGAACTGGCACAGCGGCCATTGAGGTTTCCAGTCAGTAGAGGTCTATGAGAACAAAAAACATTTTATTGGCAAACTTGCTTGATTTGCCAGGATTTATTATAGCATCAGCGGTAGAATATACTGTTCACGGTAAACATGGAGGGTCCCATACAGATAGGAAGTTGCCAGCTTAACTGAGAATACGTTCAATATAGCTAAATTGGTAAAGGTCAAGTCTGGGAAATATTGCGGTCTTATGAATAGTTATTTTTGCTTCGGTGACATAACACTCAATAAATATCATTTTTGATCAACTATCATTAATAAAAGTCCACTGATTTTCAATTTCAGCTTGGAATTCATGAAGACAATCAAAACCGTAAGAAGCTTTCCGAAATGTTGCGCTACCACACCTCAGCCTCTGGAGATGAGACGATTTCACTAGCAGACTATGTATCACGAATGAAGGAGAACCAGAAACATATCTACTACATCACAGGTAGGCCCTGATCTCCAAATATTAGTTTGTTCCATGTTCTAGTCTCAGCTATTCAGAGGTGCCTTGCGTGGTTCATCATTCATTACGCTCTTCTCTTCTGTCTGTGCGCAGGTGAGACCAGGGAACAAGTAGCCCATTCTGCCTTTGTGGAAAGGCTTCGTAAACATGGTCTTGAAGTCCTCTACATGACGGAGCCCATCGATGAGTACTGCGTGCAGCAGCTGAAGGAGTTTGATGGCAAAACTTTGGTGTCTGTCACTAAAGAAGGTTTGGAGCTTCCAGAGGATGAAGAGGAGACGAAAAAGAAGGAAGAGACCAAAAACAAATTTGAAGATCTCCTCAAAGTCATGAAAGATATCCTGGACAAGAAGGTTGAGAAGGTGAGTTTGTCTTGTATCTCAAAATAAATTTTTATGACTAAGCACCTTCCTATAACTTAACACTAGGGATGCACCGATACCGGTTTTTCGGTATCAAGTACTGATAATCTTTTTCCGGTACTCGCCAATACCGAAACTCACATTAAGGAAGCCAGGCGGCATGTAATGACTCGCCACCCGGCTTCCCGATTAGCAGGGAACCCTTCTCCATGCTCCCTCATGACCAGGTGACGAGGAAGCATGGAACCGGCTTTCTGGCAAATCAGGAAGCCAGTTGCCGTGTAATGACTTGTTGCCAGTCTTCCTGATTAGTCGAGAAGCCGGCCAATCAGGAAACGGCAACGAGTCATTACTCGTACTTGCCCAAATGCTCTGATGCCTAGCCTGATATCTGAGTTTCCGGTATCAGGAAGCTGGGCAGCCAGTCATTACATGCTACCCGGATTCCTGATTGTCCGGGAACCTGGCTCCATGTTCCCTCGTCACCAGGTGCCAACTTTCTGGCCAATCGGAAAGCTGGGGGGCGGGTAATGACTCACCGTCCGGCTTCCTGATTGGCCAGCTTCCAGACCAATCAGGAAGATAGGTGGCGAATCATTACACACTGCCCGGCTTCCTGATTGGCCAGGAAGCCGGCTCCTTGCTTCCTCATCACCAAGTCACGAAGAAGCATGGAGCCAGCTTCCAGGCCAATCAGGAAGCCAGGCAGCATGTAATGACTCGCTGCCCAGCTTCCTGATACTGGAAGCTCAGGTATCAGACTAGGCATCAGAGCATTTGGGCGAGTACGAGTACTCGCCCAAATACTCAGCTTTGGCACATATACCAATGCTAGTATGGGTGCATCCCTATTGAGCACCTTCATATTTTTGATATTAAGAAATTTCAAATAGTTTAATTTAGATTCTCAAGTGTTTCTGATTTGTATTTCATCGACATTTGTGTTCTCCAGGTGGTGATCTCCAACAGACTGGTGGAATCTCCGTGCTGCATAGTGACCAGCACCTATGGATGGACAGCCAACATGGAGCGTATCATGAAAGCTCAGGCCCTCAGGGACAACGCCACGATGGGTTACATGGCAGCCAAGAAACATCTTGAAATCAACTGTGATCATCCAATTGTTGAAACTCTGAGGCAGAAGGCTGGGGTGGACAAGAATGATAAATCTGTGAAGGATCTGGTGAATCTGCTTTATGAAACTGCCCTGCTGTCCTCTGGCTTCACCCTGGAGGACCCCCAAACGCACGCCAACCGCATCTACAGAATGATCAAGCTTGGATTAGGTGAGTGACCGCTTATACCACATTTTATCACAGGAACATGTTTCCCTATTTCAAACTTACTGCGCTCAAGCCACCTCCAGCCTGGGATGGCTACTTTAAAGTGAAGCTCCATCCAAACAGCTAAATATATATCTGAGATGCGTATATATGAACTAAGTACCTGTGAAAAATCCACCTTTCTTGTACTAAACAGTTACATAGCAACGGTCTGCATCCTTTATAGATGAAAGATCCACTTCTTTACATTTCCTGCTATAGGTAATCCTATTGCCATTTTATGTCCACCCATTCAATGTATACACTGTGGCTACTTTGTAATTTAGTGAACTATTGCTGTGAATGTGTTTGAAGCTGTCTGGGAAACAAACTGGCTGTGCTGCCCTTAGCAATCTGTTAGCCGTTAAAAGGATCCTCATGCTGTTTACACTTGAATGAGCGCTCTCCCTCTTCCAAGACAGGTGCAGTGCTCCCTCGGCTACCACAGCAGCTGAGCGCAGCTTAAAAGTACAGGGCATCCTTGACAGCATAGTACTTTTTATTGCACAGCTGAACTAACATTTAAAAGCCCAACAAGAGCCAAACTTTTACTTTAAGTGACACTTAACTCGGGAGTTAAATCTTAAAAATACATTCAAGTACCTTAACTATTAAAGGAGAACTATGAGGTGAGTGCTTTTCACTCACCTCATAGTTCTAGCCGACCTGTGACAATGAGACTCTCACAGGTCGGCTCAGTAGATCGGGAGGTGAGCGAACACATACCGGCGTTCGCTCACCTCTCGATCCTGTCACAGCTCTCTGCCGTGACAGGGGAGGGGCTGGATTCCCCCCTCCCCGCTCCGATCCGCCAGCGCTGACTGGCGGAACGGACGGGGGAGGGGGCGGGTACAGCTGGCTCTGCCTCTAGATAGGCAGAACCAGCTGTCAGTCACGCAGCTGGACGGATCCCGGCACAATTGTCGGGATCCGCTTCAGCTGCGGCGTCTCAGTACTGCGGCGTCTCAGTATACCGCAAGCTACAGCTCGCGGTATACTGAGCCTAGGATGACGGGAGGACGCTAGTTTGTGTCCTCCCTTTACCCTAAGGAGAACTGTGGGGAAAAGACTTAACCCCATAGTTCTCCTTTAAATAGTATGAGTATGTGCTAGGGATGCACCAATACCAGTTCAGATACCAGTGTATATAGGAGAACTACCAGGGTTGCAGCGGTTGCAGCTGGGACCAGACTCTGGGGCTCCACCACTGTCATGAAATCATTAGTCGATATTGTTTTAGAAAAACTGTCACATGACAATAAACAAAAATGTATCAGTACTTGTATCTGTGAGTACTTGGGCAAGTACCAGTAATTGCAAAAATGGTATTGGAGCATTCCTTATATATGTTTATAAAAACAAAATCATACATTAAAACAGAGATGTCCAATTCCGGGAGCTCCGTGTGCTCCTTACAAATGACAGCTGCCTCCTAACTTTTGAATGTTTCTCTAGTCTAGTCGTGGAGCTCAAAAAGTATCTGTACTTGTACCGAGGACGGTGCTTGGTATCGGTGCATCCCTAGTATGTGGACTTTGATTGGAGGCTCATGGACCTTCTCTTTCTTACTACAGGTATTGATGAAGATGACATCCCTCAGGAGGAAATCACAAGCCCAGTGATAGAAGACATGCCAGCACTAGAGGGCGACGATGATACATCCAGGATGGAAGAAGTAGACTAAAGACTAAAGAATTTTTGCTCTTAGGGTATTAGGTGCTGATGTGTACATTATGTACAGTTTCCCTAATTTGTTTACAATATACTATTTAAAGAAAAGAGTCTTATTACCTGGCATGATTCTATTGGAGGAAGTTAGCGATTTATCGTGTGTCTTTCTGATATTAAAAGATTTTTATATTACTTTTCAACAAATAAAATACCAATAAAAATAATTTTTAAAAATTAGAAAAAAAATAATTCAAATCATTGACATCAAATCAAGTGCATTGCGACTACTTTGGCAGTGGCAGTGGCCTTGTGTTCAGCATGTTGGCTTTTTATATAAGCCACATTGTTACCTAAACATATTTTGCTATTTTTATTTTTGTTAGATGAGAATCATTTTGGTAATAAAACAAGGTTTTTGTAGCAACTTTTTGTCATGTTTTTTTTCTTAATTCCAAAATTAATTTACATAACAAATTACTTTTGTTTTCAAAATGTGCAGTTTTGTAAATATAGCAGGTTTTCAAAAAGGTAAAACTTCAGTTTTGTAAAAAAAAACAAAAAAACCTGAAATAATGTTTTCCAGATTAACTAAATATATTGAAGGCATGTAAACAAATGTCATTGAAGAGTGTTACCTGTCTCTGTTCTGAACTCTGAACTCCAGCCTTATCTTCAGTCTTGGGCATTTGTACCGGCTCCTCTCCAAGACTGAAATGGCTTCCTCTGATGTCACTGCACACTGTGAGCTCCTCAGAATGTGCATTAGAAGCTGCAGAATATCTGCAATCAGATATAGCCCAGCTTATTTCCCAGGTTGGGGACCTAAGGCATCATCTAGTACTTTCCTTTCCAGCCTGACTGCCCCTGGCTTGCCCCTTTCATTCACTGGTTTTCAGATCTATCAGTCACGGAGCAATGTACGGCACCTTGCCGACCCCTCCCACCAGCCATGATCTGCCTTGCATTGCATAGAGAAACACAGATACTCAGTGATGATGTCACTGGCTCTAAAATAAGACGTTATAAAAACAAAAAGGTTTTATTCAAAAACTGAATTAGTATGTGGAGGAGAAAGGGGGAACCAAAGAAGGCAAAATATAAACAGATTGAATTTCGGCTTTAAAGGAGAACTATGACATGAGTGATTTCCACTCACCTCATAGTTCTAAGCCGACCTGTGACAATGAGACTGTCACAGGTCAGCTCAGTAGATCGGGAGGTGAGAGAACACATACAGGAGAGAGCAGAGAGCCGTGACAGGGGGAGGGGCTGGATTCCCCTCTCCCGCTCCGATCTGCCAGCGCTGACTGGCGGAACGGACGGGGGAGGGGGCGGGTACAGCTGGCTCTGCCTCTAGATAGCCAGAGCCAGCTGTCACTCACACAGCTGGGCGGATCCCGTCATCTAAGTCGGGATCCGCTCCGGCGTCTCAGTATACCGCGAGCTGTAACTCGCGGTATACTGGGCATAGGGTAACGGGAGGACGCTAGTTTGTGTCCTCCCGTTACCACAAGGAGAACTATGGGGAAAAACACTGACCCCATAGTTCTCCTTTAAGGATCATAACTCCGCAGTTGCTGAAACTGAGTGCTAAGTGAAAGGATGTGCCTACAGTAATGGCAACATTGTTCCTAGTGTTGTAATACAGTAGCTCCCCCGCCACCCCAGCAATTTGCATTGTCTTTTGGCAAGAGGTAAAATGTATTTAGCGTGCATCACCTCAGTCAGCAAACAGAACCCTCATGAAGGGTGCACTTTATTGCCCCCCGAAATGTGTTGGCTTGTTGCCTTGGACTTTTATGATTAAATTTATACTTTTGGACTCCAAAACATTGGTGAGACTCTCCTATATTTCCTATGCTTCCTGGATGCTATCCAAAGTGCCCCTCTGTGGCCCTCTAATGTATGAAAGCTGCCTAACCAAAGCCACTGCACTCTAAATCGTATACTTTACCCCCGTGCACTGCGAAGTAAACCATTTTTAGATCTAGCTCCTCCTACCTACACCTTTTAAAACAGTAAAAACCTGACAGTGGTTTCTAACCCTTTCACACTTTTAGATCCATTATAAGATTAGGTTCACACCTGCGCGACACCCGGGACGCGCAATCGTATGCTAGTGCACACAGCGGTTGCCGCGCGCCCCCATTGATTTCAGTGGGGTTACATCTGCGTGGCAATCGCTAAAAAGTACATGTACCTTTTTTGCGACACATGGCGCGTGGCTTTTTTAGACCGACCCCTCCCACCAGCCATGATCTGCCTTGCATTGCATAGAGAAACACAGATACTCAGTGATGATGTCACTGGCTCTAAAATAAGACGTTATAAAAACAAAAAGGTTTTATTCAAAAACTGAATTAGTATGTGGAGGAGAAAGGGGGAACCAAAGAAGGCAAAATATAAACAGATTGAATTTCGGCTTTAAAGGAGAACTATGACATGAGTGATTTCCACTCACCTCATAGTTCTAAGCCGACCTGTGACAATGAGACTGTCACAGGTCAGCTCAGTAGATCGGGAGGTGAGAGAACACATACAGGAGAGAGCAGAGAGCCGTGACAGGGGGAGGGGCTGGATTCCCCTCTCCCGCTCCGATCTGCCAGCGCTGACTGGCGGAACGGACGGGGGAGGGGGCGGGGACAGCTGGCTCTGCCTCTAGATAGCCAGAGCCAGCTGTCACTCACACAGCTGGGCGGATCCCGTCATCTAAGTCGGGATCCGCTCCGGCGTCTCAGTATACCGCGAGCTGTAACTCGCGGTATACTGGGCATAGGGTAACGGGAGGACGCTAGTTTGTGTCCTCCCGTTACCACAAGGAGAACTATGGGGAAAAACACTGACCCCATAGTTCTCCTTTAAGGATCATAACTCCGCAGTTGCTGAAACTGAGTGCTAAGTGAAAGGATGTGCCTACAGTAATGGCAACATTGTTCCTAGTGTTGTAATACAGTAGCTCCCCCGCCACCCCAGCAATTTGCATTGTCTTTTGGCAAGAGGTAAAATGTATTTAGCGTGCATCACCTCAGTCAGCAAACAGAACCCTCATGAAGGGTGCACTTTATTGCCCCCCGAAATGTGTTGGCTTGTTGCCTTGGACTTTTATGATTAAATTTATACTTTTGGACTCCAAAACATTGGTGAGACTCTCCTATATTTCCTATGCTTCCTGGATGCTATCCAAAGTGCCCCTCTGTGGCCCTCTAATGTATGAAAGCTGCCTAACCAAAGCCACTGCACTCTAAATCGTATACTTTACCCCCGTGCACTGCGAAGTAAACCATTTTTAGATCTAGCTCCTCCTACCTACACCTTTTAAAACAGTAAAAACCTGACAGTGGTTTCTAACCCTTTCACACTTTTAGATCCATTATAAGATTAGGTTCACACCTGCGCGACACCCGGGACGCGCAATCGTATGCTAGTGCACACAGCGGTTGCCGCGCGCCCCCATTGATTTCAGTGGGGTTACATCTGCGTGGCAATCGCTAAAAAGTACATGTACCTTTTTTGCGACACATGGCGCGTGGCTTTTTTAGCCACGATCGTATTCACTTGCACCAGCGAGATCGCGCCGGGAAACCGCGCGATCCGCCTGGCTCAACTGGGGTGCCATTAGAAAATAATGGCACCCACAGCGCGATCGCCTGCGGTGGCAGCCTCCGTGACCGTGCTGCAATCCGGTTGCAATTTTGTGCACGATTGCCACATGGTCAGGAGTTGCCTAGGTGTGAACCTAGCCTAAGCCCTCGTTCACACCTGAACGTTTTGTAGCGCGTTCTACGCTCGAAGAACGCTCTACAAAACGCTCAAAAATATAAATTGCATTGGAGTCAATGGACTCGTTCCCACCTGTCCGTATTTCCGCCCGTCCCGAACGCGCTACAAAACGGCCCACGCCTGAAAAGGTACAGGCACTACTTTGGGCCGTTTTGTAGGGCGTTTTCCATTGGAATACAGCCAAGTAGCCTTTGGAATCGCGCAACGGTCGCGCGTCTTTTTTACCGCGAATCGCGGTAAAAAAAACGCGCGACAGACGCGCTTCTGCAATACGCCTAGGTGTGAACCCAGGGTAAAAGAAGGATGCAGCAGCAACATTGTTTCCATTTGTTCCGCAATAGGGTGACCTTGCATCGAATGTAAGTGATTTGCTTTACTGAAGAGATCGTCTTGGCTTGTGCAATCTTTTTGTTTTATTTGCACTGGGAGTCCCTGTTTCAAATCCCGGTCAAGACACTATCTGCATGGAGTTGGCATGTTCTCCCTGTGTTTTGCGTGTTTTTCCTCCGGGTACTCTGGTTTCCTCCCACACACTAAAGACATGCTGGAAGGTTAATTGGCTTCTGCCTAAATTGGCCCACGTATTGAATGCATAGGAGATAGGGACCTTAGATTGTAAGCTTATTGAGGGCAGAGACTGATGTGAATGGGTAACATGGATGTAAAGCGCTGCGTAAATTGTCTGCGTTATATAAATACCTAAAATAAATACATTTGAAATGTAAAACAAATTTAATTCATTTTACAAGTAGGAAAAGTAACTTAATTAGCTACCCTGGGATGTGCTTGTTGCAGTCCATGATGAACACTCTGCGCATATACTGTATAGTTTCCGGTCATTCTTCTTTTTCTTCTGCTTCTTGAAGAAACTCCAACCCTTCAAGTTGAATGGAGCTCTTCTGCACATAAATAGCAGAGCTTTGAACTCTGACTGACTCTCAATAGGGAAGTGCTGCAAACAACAACAACAAAGGAGGTCAGATTAAAACATTATCATGTGCAAGTAATATGTTTCGCTACAGGGTAATAGTTTACTAGTGCTTTCGCTCAGGGCCAGGCCAAGGGATAGGCAGAAGAGGTAACCGCCTTGCGTGCTTCAGCAGAGGGCACGGGTGAAGAAAGAGCTGGACCAGCATCCTATTCTGCTACAGTAGTTCACATCTCATTGGGAGGGGGGTTCTCACTTTGTTGTTTTTTGCCTTGGGGGCTGAAGAACCTTGTCCCAACACCGCCTTCACTTATCTAAAACTTCCCCTGT